TTTTTTTGGCTTAGTAGTTATGCAAACAAAAGATTATTTTTGCGGTTAGTGTTTTATGCTCAGTCAGATTTTTTAAGAGTCATGAGCAATCTTTGTAAGCATAAATTGATTTTATACAGCAGCATTGAATGCAAATTTGGGGCTGGCATGAGTTGTGGTGCTGGGTTTGAATTCCAGTTTACATTTTCCATTTGCATGCACAACTTGAGTGTTTTCGTCTTTGCCTTTTCAGAAGTTTAAGGAAATGCTGAGGGTGGTGAGGCTGTAGACACTTGGTCTTCTATGATGGCTGGAGTCTGCGGTGTGGTTGATGCTTGAGGTGGTTGTCCAATCAGATCGGTGTTTTTTACTAGTGTCATTGTCATAGGGATATTTGGTGCTTCATCAAGCATGAAGGTGTTGTTGATGTTATTGGATGAATGATCATCGAACACATTGTTAACCAGTATATCACAATGATTGTTAGACGATCTGTAAGTGCCAAAACGTACTTGGAAAATGTGGTATTTCATCAGCTTCTCGGCAATAGGTGGAGGAATCTTGTAAGGGTCACAGAATTGTTTGTCAACGACATAGTGATGTGCTAAGTTGCCAAAGAACTTCTCAGCACACTTTCCCATCATCATGAAATTTTTCACATCATCTCTATTAGTTATAATACAATCTAATTTGTACCTGTGTATTAACCTAGTTCAAGTGAGAAAGCACAGCAATATTAAATGTTTGTACTCTGTTGTAGAAAGCACCTATGATATATTTTTTTTATTGATTATATTTAAGATTTCTGGAAAAGCAATGCCATGCAATCCACTTGCGTAAAACACGAAAAAAAATACAGAAATGGAAACATGCATAAATGCATGTATAGCAAGGACAAATGAGGAAAAATATAGAAGGCATGTTCATTTCTCAACAGAGTGAAAATTGAAGAGGGTGTGTGCCTTCTTGACACAACACCTTATTACATGTGGGACAGCTTTTATACCACCAGCCCCAATCTAAATCAAAGTCTGTGATTGAAGCTCGACAAGTGAACCTATGGCCCTGAAATGATTGTATCAAGGTAAACTAGTAGATAAAAGAAGGATTTGTTGTTTTGGAGTGAGTTACATAATCGATTGTTAAAAGTGAGGGGAAAAAAGTAATGTTTATGAGAATGATGATGTTAAAAGATGTAGGAAGGGTTACATTGTAGGGCCATGATATAACAGATGATCAAGTGGGCTTTAAAAGGTTGTTTATGAGGAAAAAGTTACATTGTCCAGAAACCTCTTTTTTTTTTTTTTTTTAAGGATGAGGCAGAACGAACCAAAGTGAAGGTATGAAATTGAGATGTTGTGTGTTTTTAATGAGCCCATATGAAGAGAACAGCATATTATGTGATTTGTTGGTCTTGGTTGTGCTGGTTTTACTTTTCATGAAGAGAGGCAAATTTTGTTTTGTGTGTTGTTTTTTATATGGATAGAGCATTATATAGCTAGTGTGGAGTGTTTTGACCTGATGTTGATAAGGATTGATGCAAAGAAGCTCTCTTATAGTTTTTGGATTACTCATTTTATGTTCCTCGATGCTGCCTTCAGCACCAACTAGCAATGGAAGTCGCTGAATATTTGATGGGATAGCATTGAAGCTAAAAGAAGAGCAAATAATGATGTGTTTGCAAAAAAATCAGAGCAAGGGTGTAGGAAAAATATCATCAGAGTACAAAAGAACTCACTAATGATTGTATGATAGCAGCTCAGGAATGTCAGGATTCAAATACCAAACCGATGCAGTTGTGCTATTGAGAACTGGTTTGCCTAAAAAAGTTATTTCATATAAATAGCATAGTTTAGTTCCTATGACAAAAGAACTGGGCTTTAAATATTTAAGCTGTGCAACATTTGTAGAAGTTAAAATGTTGTTTACCAAGGAATTCACTTGTCTTAAACCCTGCAAATACAACCATAACAGGAGGGTGGAGCACACGAATAGAATTCTCATCTAAGCGTTTTGCAACATCTCCCTAAAGAGTGATACGGAATCCCTACCACTTGGGTGTAGCAGATCACAAGCCTACCTGTAATATAATTTGATTTCTTTTGGGTTTGCCTAAAGGAACAGTTTTAGAGATAGCAGCGTCGGAATTCAACAAAAAATTTCCCTCTACCAAAGTTAAAATGAAATTATGGGAGGAAAAAAAATGACAACATTTTAGGGCCTTCAAAATGATTGAAATAACACCACCAAGAAACAAGCGAAGAGCATCAGCAGGAAGGCTGGACCATGCATGATCTATTAATTGAAGCCTTATAAGCATCCAATTAGAGGACAGAGAGAAGGCATAGGCTGGATGATGCAATAGTGATGTTACGGTATATTACATATATGCACCGATAGCTCGCATTCTCCATTCTCTTAATTGGAACTGAGGTGCACAGTGAGAAAACATGGGAACCACTAGTCTGAACTTAATCTACCTAACCATCTCCTTAGAATAAATAGCTACATAGAAGCTAGACTTCTATCTACAGGCTAGCAAGAAACAGAGAGATCGAGGCAGAGTCAGTGTGTCAAAGGAGAAGATAGCAAGGGAGATTTTTTGGTCATTCATGGTGGCTGGATACAATAAAGGGTGGTCATTGCACAAAATAATCTAACTAATCTTGATTGGAGAAGTCAGACCATGTTTTTGTTTTTTTTTTTTGAAATGCCACTGAAATGTAAATGGGTGTGGATAACTACTGAATTTGGCAACACGAGATTTGGCAACCGGGAAATACTTAATAAAAGCGCTTCCTTCCAAATGCATCCTCAACAATCATTTTTTTATTTTAAAATTATACTATTGCCAGCTATTTCTGGTTATTGGCGAGTAGAAAAATAGTGAAAATGCTTCTTTGATAACAGTTAATGAGGTAAAGCAAGAAAAATCATGCAAGACACTATGATCACATTGTGGTAAATTGTCAAAGTTGCACTTGTTCAGTCAAGCCCATTCTCCTATCACGCTTTGCTCTATGGCCTTTGACACGGGTGACATTCCAGCTCCGTGTTACGCTCCGCCTAAAAGAGAGATTTTTCTAGAGATTCTAGAGAACACTAGATAATTCTGAAAACTTCTAAAAGAGTATAAAGCAATGGAGAAACCTCTAGATAAGGTCGAAACTTCTAGAAGAGTATGAAGCATTGGAGAAGTCTCTAGAATGATCTAGAGAAATCTAGACATGTTCTAGAGAATTTTAAAGAGCCCCTCACTAATCTCACATGTACATATTTAGATAGTTCATCGTAAATATCTAGAGAGGATATTTCTAGAGAAACAATTATAGTCATTAGATTAAATAGATCCTAGTCATCAATTGAGGAGGTGGAAGGCTATAAATAGGTGAGGCCTTCACTTGGCCAAAACACCTAGACATCTACAAATTTAAGAGTGTATTTTTAGAGTTGTAAGCTTTAGAAAGCAATACAAAGAGTTTTTATATCTCTTGTGTATGTCTTTCTTGCTTAGCAACTTTGTGTGACGAAAACTGACTTGGTTTGTCTTAGAGAAAAAGAGAGTCAAGTGCCACACGTGAGCTTGGGAAAGGCCAAATCCGTGACAAGTGGTATCGAGCCAAAATGGTATCGAGTCGAGTTTTATCAAAGTGTGAGTAAGCTTTTCGCTAGCTAAAATGTTCAAAGGAGTAAGCATGTGTAGCTCGGCATGGAGGATGTTGTCGGGGATGCTAGGAATGAGATTCAACCTCCTCAACCTAAGAAAGGAAGGGGGAAGTCTCGTGATGTATTGGTTTCCTTGGAGGAGCGACTCATGAGGGCGAAGGAACACCTTGCCGATTTCAAAGAGAGACTCGAGGAGATAAAGGGAGATGATGAGGGAGAGACACTAGGCATGGCGAGGCCTACGTGAGGTGCTCTCCAATCTCCAAGCTCGAGTGGAAACGGTTGAGAGGTGTGCCAAAGAGAACGCTACCAAAAAGGATGCCTTCATGGAATGGACGAAGGAAAGGTTCAAGCAACATCAAGAGTATATGACCAGGTATGAGCAAACTCTTGAACAATTTAAAAAAGATTGGGCAAATTATCGAGAAGTTATCTCGAATGGTGTGGTCTTGAGGAACACGCCAAAAGTTGAAGTGTCAAGACCAAGGCACTATACCGGCAAGCGAGATGCTAAGGAAGTGGACAACTTCTTTTGGCAAGTGGAGCAATATTTCGAGGCAATGGGCTTGACCGAGGAGAGAAGTCGCGTCAAGACCGCTACTCTCTACCTTTCGGAGGATGCTCGCTTCATGGTGGTGTATGAAGCACCAAGAGCTCAAAAAGGGAAATCTAGAGTTGCCTAGTTGGGATAAATTCAAAGAAGCCATGTATGCTCAATTCTACCCCAAAGAAACCGATTGAGAAGCACAGGACAAGCTACGAACATTGAAGCATACGGAAACTATTAACGATTATGTTTAAGAATTTATTTCTTTTAAACTTCAGGTATGTGGTAAACCCAATTATGATCAAGTAACTTATCCAAGAGCGAGAGAAATGGGTTGATTAGAGCGAAACCAAGCCTTATCGCTAAGACAAGCATAGAGAAAATTTTGGTCTAGTGATTGTAGATGCTTTAAGATGTTCTATCAACAAAAATAAAGTACCACAGTTCTTACGGACATGAATTTTATCTCCCTATGAAAGAGTGAAAAAAATATTATGCTACTAATTATGGTAAAAAAACGTAAAGATGAATTTTCTTTAAAGTTTCATTGTTTTGGTTACGTAATTGAAATTTTTTTTACTTAGGTTGAAGCATAGTAAGAGAAGGCCGAAAAGAAGTACAAAATGCTATTAGTTAGGTAGTAGCAAAATATAACATATGCTAATTAGTTTTTAAAGTTTAGAACTAACTTTTCCTTCTTTATTGGTAATATGCTTGACCCAGATGTTGCAAATGACAGACAGTTGGAATGGACCTTGATGAGGTGATATCAGCTTCATCATTGAATTGATTCTCAGGTTCTTGGACCATGCTATCAACCTCAACATCTGGCATGGTAAATGGGTCGTGGGGAAGACGATGGTTGGTAAGCTGGACAGGTGGTTCAAGGCCAATGTTTTGTGGTTGTGTTGTCCAGTCAGAAGAAGAGTCTAGAGCCATAGTTCTTTGGTAGATTGATGAGGATTCAACAACTAAAAAATGGTAGAGCTGCGCTGAATAACACGTTCCTGATTGGCATTAGAACATTCTCCAAGCTAAGAAAGATGTGTTGTTACGTTTAAGGGCGGAAGGCACGAAGAAACATCTGTGGCAGAAGATTCAAAGTGATGAAAAGGATAAGAATCACTAATATTGCCCAGTCATTGCCTAACCGATGTCAATCAATTGGTAAAAGAGGCACCAAGGTGATCATGTTGGGAAGAGATGGTTCGTTTGTTGGAAGAAGTAGACGCCATAAATAGAATTGATTGATAGATAGTTAAAAGTTGAGCAACAACATATAAGCTATTAAATAAGAACAACTTGATGAGATTAAATAAAAAATAAAGCGTTTGGACAATTTTAAAAAATGGTGAAATCAAAAATATTCATAGATAGCAAATAAATATAAAAATTAAGCAAATTTTATGGAAGAAACTGCGCAAAGATAAAGACTAAAAATGAAGGGTTTGCAACTAACAGTGCTCAACCTTAATTAAATTTAGTACAAACCCAGTTAAGGTTGATTTCTTGTAGCTAACATGAGTAAATTTTCTTAATAAGGAACAGAAAACAAAGTTCTTAAGAAAATGAGTGCATATGGAGAAACAAAGTGAAGAATAAGGATAAAATAAACATACTTGCATGCTCTAGAGTAAAAGATGAAAAGATCAGTGCAGAACTTAAAATCCGCTACATAAAGAGAAAGTGGAATAGTATAAAATATCTTCCCCTCTCCTCATATTCATATATGAAATGAATGAACAAACTGAATGCAAATTTTTATAGCAGGTCAGTTGCGACTTTAGCAAGATGAAAACACAGAGGCATAGGTTTTAATAGTTCCATCAATCACAAATCATGTTTCAATCATTTAAACTGAATACCAAGGAGAATGTAAATATAGTTAATGGTTTCGTAATTTTTTGGTGAACAAAAACTACATCAAGTTTTGACTAATTTAATATGAATTCAAGATATGCCAACCTTCGATTTTACAAAAGTTGTTCACAGAAACAATATTCATGCACTAATTGTTTATCACTCTATTATGTTGGTCATTTAAGAGGTGTGTGTGCAAACACACACACATGTGGAATGATAATGAAAGCATGATTTAGAGCCAAGCCAACCTCTAGAAAATAGTTAAAAATAAAAATTTTATGCAATAACAAAGAAGATAAGGTAAAAATAAAAGTTTTCCATAGAAAACCAAATAAAGAAAAAGAAAAAAAGAAACAGGTGCAGGAACAATGAACAAACAACCTAAGTTGCAAAAAATGGTGGAACAACACAATGAATATTTGTAAGCCATGAGAAAAAAGATATTAGAAGGCTATTTTTAAAATGAAAAAATTTAATCAGTTAAATATGTTATCAATGATCAATAAATGTGCAGTTTAGATCTAATTCAATAGAACATGGACTTGTGATATATTTATAGTACAAGAAATAATTTTAATCAATGAAGACATTTAAAAATAAAAAAATAAAAAATCTGCAGACGCCAATATTGGAATGATAACTTTAAGCAAGGTTCAAAACAAAAAAGATATAGATGGCAAACAAACATAAAAAATAACCAAACTGCCCATTACAAACGACATAGAAAGCTATTATGAAAGTATAGGTTTACTTCCACGAGTGTCCAACTGTAGAATTAAAATTACATTAACATGCATTATTTACCTATAAAAGTAATCGTGGACCAAATTTTAAAAAAGAGATTGAATGCAAGAAAATAATAAAAAGAAATAAAAAATAAATAGGGGAAAAAAGCAATTGCATGAGGATAAACAAAATGGACCAACCAAATAGACAAAGAAATAGAAACATAGAAAGGGGAAAAATTTTGGTCTCCCAATTTCTAGAATTTTCCAATTTTTATTGTTTCATAAACCCTAAAAAAAACTATATTAGATGGAAAAGAAATATATATATATACTTCTGATTTTAATTTTCATTTTTATCCAAATAATTGATCATTTCTCAACACCAACGAATGTGTTCTCACCAAAAAATAATTGTTTTGATTCAGTTCAAATTAAAAATTTAATTCTCATTACTAATAGATAATTAATTATAATTATTTTTTAATAACGTTAGGTTTAGACTTGTTTGATTTAAGAAGGAAAACAGGAATAAAGGAAAGATTCCTGTATGCTTGAAAGTAGGAGCTGAAAAGAGGAATGAAGCACTTAAATTCCACTATACAAATAGGAGGCGAAGCAATATAAAATATCAAAAACACCAGTTTAGAGCGAACAATAATTGAAATGAAAAGCAATGCTCTTTTATAACTAAAGGCACATATCATAATAAATGAAGAAACGATGCAGCATTGGAACCGAAAAACACAAAAGAAGAAACCAAAGAAAGGAAAAATGCAGTAACTGTGCATTAATAGATAGGGTCTGTCAAGCAATGTGAATGAATCATGCAAAAGGTATGTGGCAACGCATGGAAGAGCTTTTAAATGGTAAAACAAAAAACATCACAGCGACATCCCAACTCATAAACTAGAACCCAAAGTTTTGATCGAGGGAAGGAAGACATTGGGCTGTAAAAAACAAAACCCAATCAACCATGGAGACATAACGTAGAGGAGGCAATTCAGTCTAATAGACATCATAATTTTTTTTTTTTTTTTTTACCAATATTTGAAGCAAGCTGTGAAGGGACTAAACATGCTAAACACCTAAGAATAGGAGCAACTCTTATGCAGGAAGCAGGCACGAATAAACATTTCATGCAATAAGAAAGAAGAGAAAACAAAAAAAAAATTCCTTCAACACCAAAACCAATACAAAAACAAGTGTGAAAGAACAATGGACAAGCAATACAACTTGTAGAGAAGGATAAAATGGTAAAATAAACATTCCAAAGGTATGTGAAAATTTTTTTCCAGAACCCAGCATGTTTTCAAAACAACTATTGACAGCATATGCAAGAAAGAAAAATAAAGTGCAAGGCAAATAATGCGAAGAAGGAGATAAATATGTTTCCAAGAAAAATAAAGGATAAATTATGATTACTAATTTATGTTTTCATAGCCAAAACCATTTACACTGTAATTTTTTTAATACTATATTTTACACCTTAAAGTTTAATATTATACTTTACACTCTAAAGTTTATTTAAATAATTACAAATCTGTAATTCAGTGAGTAAAATTGCTATGTTAATGTTTATAATGTCACTGTTGTAACCCAATTAAAGTTCATTTTATTATTATTATTATTCATGTTAGTGAAGTTTTCAAATTTAAAAATTCTGAAGGGAAAAAGAAAAGAAAAATATATGAATTACAAAATCGAGAGCATTAATTATTGCAAAAGGCATGAATGAAATGTAGAAACAAAGAGACTGGGCATCCTACCCAAGAATTATAAAAAAAAGGAGTAGACCAAAGTCACCCCCATTATATTTCTTTCTTTTTTTTAAGTAATTTTTATACGTTATTTTCTTTGAATTTCTTGGCCTTTCCACGTAAGTAGGCTACACATAATAAATGTTAAGCTATAATCATCTTAATTCAAAATATTACTCATGAAAAAAATTGTTTTAATCTATTTGGCCTACAAATCAAGTAAATTTGGGAATCAAATAATTCTAACTAGTTTGGGTAATGCAAAAAAAAGAACTGAGGCTAGTAAAGCTAAGAATAAAAATCAAGAGGTGAGCATTCCCGATAATTTTTTTTGGTAGTGTATCATATTCAACAATAATTGACACCAGGCTTTTCAACATTTTGTTTGTGCATTGTTATCAACCCATTAAAAGCACCTTAGTAGCATATCTAAAAAAAATTTCTCTTTATAGTTGTACAATGTATTACCAAAGTTGATAGTCATACATTGCATTAAAATTCATAAAAGAAAATATTGATTAAAGTAAAGAAGGAAAAAAAATTTATGAGGGCAGAGAAGTCCATCCTTTTTGTGTTGAAGTTTTAGGTTTAGAGCTGATGAAAGATAGCAACAAAAGTGATTGCTAAGTCCTAATTCCAGACAAAAACTAATTTATTAAACCACAAAGATTGAATAGAAATTGACCTATAGTTATGCCATTTCAATCGTAGTTGCGCCAGCTCTACATCATCTGCTCCAAATAATTAGTTTGGTAACAAATTTGTTAAGAAATTTTTTTAATGGCATATTTATATGTCTTGAACTTGTAGTCATCACACTTCAATTGTTACGTTATGTTGTTCCAAAAAAAAGAAAACAAAACCCAGCAGTAGCAGCAACGTAAAGAAAAAACCTCAAGCAATAACAAATGCAGTCAGGCACAAGAAATGCACAAAGCGCACACTGGATAAGAAGAGTATGCGAAATAAGTGTCTAACATAAACATCCAATAGAAACATTTTAAATATGCATGAGTAACAAAATTGAAACACATACATAGATTAAAGAAAAAACCAAAGCAACCAAAGCGACGACACAACAGGTACATAAAAAGCATATGGAAAAGCAAAGAAAGCAGGAATAGTAAGAGCAAACGATGAGTAAATGAACAAAAAATAACCTGAGTGTAGAATCACAGGACACCAACTGAAGGAAAAGCACTAATAACAAAAAAGCAGTAGAGGGAGACCCTGAAACAATAAAGGGACAAAAAGGAAAAAAAGGTATTAATAAGACATTTAAATTAGGCCAAACAAAAAGAGAAAAAAGCATGGTGTGAACACTTTCCATATACTAACAAAAGACCAAAGAAGAATAGAAATACCCATCAAAAAAAAAAAAAAACAGGAGGTATAAAAAGCCTCTATGAAACATGGTTTTTTATCTCTTAATCACTCTGATTTATAATATTGTCATAACAGTAAATAACAATATAATTAAATTTTAAAAAACATATCAGAGACAAAAAATGATATCGGTTTTATTTGAAACACATTCCAAAATCAATGGATGGTTGAGCTCTAGTCTTTGTTATGGAGAAACCAAAATGTTGCATCTTAGAGAAGACAGTGCTGAGTCGAAATTGTGACGAAGCACATGGTGAAACATATGACAGTAGAACTTTGGATGAAATGGGAGGGTGATTCTATCAAATTTTACCATAATGTAATGTTTTTTGTTCAACTCTAGTAATCAGGTACACACACACTAAAATTGAGTACCAATGAGACCATACAAAAAGGGAACGACAATATACAGAAGACATTGATAGATAGACCAAATGAAAAAAAAATTAAAATAGATGAAGTCGGATAACACAAAGAAGACACATGTAGGTGGACCAAATGAAAAAACAATTAAAACAGATGGAAAAGGTTGGCAAAATCCCAAGAGAAAAGGTGGACCTGATTGAGAGAGAAAAGAGGAAGACAGAGTGAGCAAAGAAGAAAACGTTGCAGGAAATGTGAATAACATTTGCTGACTCTATACCGAAATAAGAAGAGAGAAGCAAAAAGGAAAGGGCAAAGGGATCCAAGGAGAAAAGAGAGCACGACAGAAGACAGCTAAGTAGCTGTAACTAAAAGAACTAACGAAGATATCGAAGAGTTCCCAAAAAGTAAGAGAGGCAAAAGATAAGAGAATAAATGAACAATTTGAGCAAGAATAGAAATACTTATCTGATTAAAAGTGCACCAAAACAAATGGGAGATGCAGCAAGTCGATCCAAAAGAAGAGAAACCAAAAAATCCCCAATAATGGCCTGATGTGAAAGATAATTATGCAACATCCAATGATAGCCAGAGGCACCAGGTAGGAGCCACCACTCATAGATACAATATAACCGCTTCGCCTGACAGAAAACAAAAACTTTCCATTTGGTTTCAAACAGACTAAACAAAAATGAAAATGATCAAAAAAGGAGGGCGAACGATACCTACCAAAATAGTCAAGAAGCAACTAAGCTCTGAACAAATAATCATGGGGTGGGCCTTAAGCATTGCCAGTCCTGGAGGATGAGGAAAAAAATGGCTGCAAAAAAATAAGAAAGAAGAATCGATTTTGAGACAGTCCCATTAAATGCTATGACAGGAAAAGAGAGGAAATGGCGAAAGGAGGCCCAAAACATAGAGAAAAAAATGTCATTAAGGGAAATTATTAAAACACGAAAAACAGAGGCTGCAAGCAAAGAAAAACTAAACCGTCGAGACCAAAAGTCAAGGAGTTGAGTAAAAACCAAAGGGAAAAGAGAGGAAATGGAAAACGGGCCCTAAAAGAGAGAAAAACAAAAGTGATTAAGGGAAATTAGTAAAACAGCAAAAATAAAGGACTCAAGGGGAAAAAAGAGAGCAAAATCAGATGATGAAAAAGAAAAGTCAAGAAATTCAAGAAAAACAAAAGGAAAAAAAGACAAAATGGGAAAGAAGGGCCAGAAAAGAAAGAGTAACAAAACTCATTAAGGGCAAATTAGTAAAACACCAAAAAAAGCTAGAGACATGGAACCTTAAAAGATAATTTGTCACATAATGTACCAGAATCCCACCATCTCTATGTACCTCATAACATCTGCAGCAATGATAGAACCATAAACCCACATTTCCACAAAGACTTACAATTTCCAATTAGCATAGCCTGCTGCCATAAATATGTTGGTTTCCCATTTTCTAGGTCTGCTTGGCATTAAAGATAACTTCAAACTTTTCGCTCCCTCTCTGGACGATGGTTTGTTATTTTCTAAGTCTATTTTGCAAAATGAATAAGATGTAACTTTTTTTAGCCAAGGGACTGTGTACATGGTATCATTATAGGGAACATAATCCCAACATGAAAGAAGAAAAAAGGAATCCGGGCAAAGGCCCAGGACAATAGTCTATAAAAACAATATGGATTTTTGGATGCAAACCCTAGTAAATAAGTTTTTAACTTTTCGCTCCCTTTTTGTACAGTGGTTTGTCAATTTGCTGCTCTGTTAAACTGTCATATTTTTTAGCCAAGTTATTGTATACATGGCATCATGTATACGGAATAGAAGGGCCAGCATAAAAAAAAAGAGAATAAGGAAAGCAAGGAAGGCCATAGGATAATAGTCTATAAAATCAATAGAAATTTCTCATTACACATCGAAAAGGAAAAGCATGCATCTCCATATTACTAACAAAAGGCACCTGTGCCCCTTCTCTAACAGCCTTGCTGTGCTTCGTAAAATAATCATGCACAGGACAACTAACTGAATGTGTCTAGGAGGTGACTATCAAGATGTTGTCATCTCGGAAGGTCTTTTGCAAGAAATTTCTCAGCTTGAATACATAAGGTCCCTGAAGTAAATTCAACGAATAAAACGATGCTAACTCAAAAGTTTTCTTATTTTAATAAAAATGCACCAGTAGTTCAACAACAACACATCACTATAAATAGTAAAAAAGGCATCAGAACCTTTAACTACAAAGGAACTTCATGCAATTCATAACAAATTAACCAAAATAATACAATCATATAGTCAAGGAGTAAAATTAAGCATCTATATTCAAAATATCCAGTATATAAAAGTTTTAATCATGAATCACCAGCAGTTTATTGTTTTTGTTCAAAGCAAAACAATTGATCATTCATATATGCATAACGATGTGATTAAGAAGAAATTGAAACCTTGAACCTATAACTTCCATCTGGATAAACATGGCAGTGAAAAATATGAGTTTTTCTATTCTGCGATTTTGCGACAAACATAAGTTGAAAACACTCTATTATATTCTATTAAGCATTCTGTAAAAGCAATTTACACATCAATATTGATTATACCCGCAATTGAAGCACAAAAATAATTCACATTTCAAAACTGAACAAATTAAACAGAATAAGATGCAGAAGTTTTATGGCATATTTACCTTGACACAATCTTCTTCCTTTATATAACCAAACCTAAATTTTTGACCAAAATGTCCTTATTGGGAAAGCTCTCAACCTCCTGATTTGGTAAGTGGATACAACCTCCTCTAAACTCTTTTTGTTGATATTTTTTAAAAATAAATCAAGCATTAACAATCCAGCAGCTACAAAAAAGAAGAAACCAAAAACAAAACAAAACTAACCCTCCGATGTAACTAAAAATGAGAAAAGATTTTCTAAACTGAAGTTCTCCCAAAACCGCCAATTGTTGACTCAGAACCTTTCTGTCTCTATAAATCCATAGTTGAACCTACAAGCCTCGATGAAACTGTAGATTGAGCACCAAAATGACCTATACCAAAACCACCACATGAAAAAATAAAAATATAAATCAACCCAGAACTTCAATTACATTATTGACCTTTACAAACAATAAGCTTGCTGAACAGTGGTGGTTTAAAAAAAAAAGCTGCAAGGAGAAGCAGATTACATGAAGAATTCATTAACGAATGGGTTGGTGTAACGTGGCTCTGAATCTGCTGTTGTTGAGGACGAAGAGAGCATTTGTTGTGAGAAGGCTAAGGAGGAGGAGAAGAAAAAAAAAAAAGCAACATTAACGTTGGAAGAGAAATGTTTAGCCATGTCTAAAAAAAATGTGAAAACATTTTCTAACCTCTTGATCAGGAGACATCTTGAGATATATAAAATCTATATAGACAGCTAAAACCAAAACACACCAGCTATCGCACAATAGAAAAGAACCTACAGGTTGAAATGAAAACACCAATCAATGCAATGAAACCCAGCAAACCAACATTGGAAGCCAATAATCCCATAACCAAATGGCATAATCCTAAGGAAAAATTATTAAATAGAAGTTCAAAGTTGAGTACATGAGGAAATCTAAACTGTGATGGCAATATTCATAAATAATTGAAAAACCCACCACAAAATACAAGGTCAAGTTCGTTGATACTAAACGAACAAGCAAAAAATACAAAAAATTCTGACCAAATGCAAGCTACCTATTAAATTGATTGACGGTGAACAAATCTTTTCTACCTTTTCAACACTTGTTGGAACCAAAGCAATATAAACATAATTAAATTCAACTAACTTCAATAACAAAAACTATAGAAAGCGACTCCCCAGCGTCTCTTTTGTCCCTGCCTCTGTGCCTTGCATCTCTTCTTCCATCCTTGGCAATAGAGAGAAAGAGAAGAATCAATCGAAAGATAAATTTGGTGGTGATGAAGATTCGGGTTATAGGTTTGGGTGAGCGAGATGGTAGCGGTGGCTTGATAATAGTGAAGAGCAATGGAAGGGTAACTATTGACGACTGATCAAACTGCTATTCAGAGGTATGGAGATCGACGGTGGGTGAGGAGTTTTAGGAGAGAGGTAGTTTTGGGTGGACAGTGGAGCAGTTTGTGGGAGAAGAAAAGAGGCACGAAGGAATAAAAGAGAGGAACAAAGAAGAATGGGAATGGGGTTTTGAATAATTAAAGGAACAGTTTTTTTAAGTTTGTATCCACAGTATTTTCAGTCACAAGGACCAGTATTTGAAATAGTAAATCATCATTTTGATTTAGTTTTGTTTGTTAATGGTTTAGATATACAAGTAAAATACGATAGTAAAATGATTTTTTTTCCTTTGATACGGCTAATTAACATTTATAAATTAATTTTCAACAAATCAAATTTACTAGATGGATACAATCAATTAAGATAATAGCAATTTTTTTTAATACTTGATTTATGCTTAGTAAAAACATAATACTTAAACATCAATTATTTCAAAAAAAAAAAAAAAAAACAATAGGTAAGTAGTGACATCAACATTCTAAAAAACATAATAGCAATTTTTCTTATCTAAATTCTTTTCATGATTTTAATACCAAAATCACAAACATCGAATTGTCTCAAATTGTCACTACAAAAAAACTATCAAATAGTGAAAGTATTTAGTAAAAAAAATTTATCTATCACTAAATAGCAAGGAAATAGCCACCAAATAGTATATATTAGAACTAATGACAAAATAATGATGGATTAGTGAAGGTTTATTAGCGATGGATACCAATCCATCACTAAATTTAGTGGCAAAATATTCTCAAAATTTTTAGTGATGGTTTAACGACATATTTGTTTCAAAAAATAGTGATGAAATTGCTAATATCTAGCTATTTTTAATGTCCGGATTTAGCAATGACTATTCCATCGTTAAAAGAAATATCCCTCGCGAATTAGTGATGGGTAAGTCCACTAAAGGTGAAAAATTGGGTGGGCTTTTGAAATTCAAAAGCCAACTAATTGGTGACGAATTCGCAATGGACATTAAAAGTCTATCACCGTACGTAAAAAAAATGAGTAGCCAACTATAATTAATTAGCCCACCTATTTTGTAAAAGAATAGTGATAGACACTTACATTCGTTGCTAATTAGCGATGGATTAGTAACGAAATCGCGTTCATCGCTATTTTTCAATCCCTAATTAAAACCCCTTTCTTCTTCCTCCTCTTTTTTCCCAACCAACCCCCCTCTCAAAATCACCACCAAACTCTACTTTTTCATTCTCAATCAATCTACACCCACTTCAAGCTCTTTTTTTCGAAAAAAAAAACCCATTTTTTATTCGCTCTTCTTAGTGTAATTCTACCCAAATCGAGTAAATTTTTTCTCTCTCTTTTAATTTCTAAATTAAAGTTTATAATTTATTATGATTGCTAGGTTAATTTTAAGTTTAATTATTTGATTTATAATTTTGTATATATTTAACTATTATTTTATTGATTTATTTGTTAAATTATTAATTTTTGTTAAATGTTAGGTTAATTTGTTTATTAATTTGTTAAATTGTATGGTAAATTTTGTTAGTTCATTATTATTTAAATTTAATAAAAATTGAATTTTAATTAATTAAGTTAATTTTATTTATGTATGTTAGCATCTAAATTTTGCTTGTTTATTTTCATAAGTTCTTAAAAAAAAATACAAAATACAAAATGAAAAAAAAGATCGAAAATTTCAATTAAGGGATGCAATTGAAAGAAAAGAAAGAAAAAATGACCAAAAGAAAATAGGTCCATAAGATCAAGGATCAAATCAAATTTTAGACCACAAACCCTAAAAAGTCGGTATAAAACTCCTCTTTTCCAAATCCCGACAACCACTCTTTTCATATAAAAATTTAGAGCTATATTCTCTCTTTATAAAAAAAATTTGGTCACCCCTCCCTAAAATTCCAACAATCACCAACCAACCATAATCTTTCATCCATAGCCTATTGTTGTCTACAAGCCAACCACTTTTTATCACCAATCGAGATGAATGAAAAGCAATCGTCATCACTAATCATCTTTCCTACCGAAACCACCCAATCCGAGACGAATCGAAAGTGACCCACGTTATCGATCATCTTTTTTGCCGAAGTGGTCCGATCTAAGGGTAGCTCCATCGTCGATCATCTCTCGCCATTGCCATTCATCCATAAAGTCTAGTCACAACCGGTGCCACTTATTCCACTATTCCATTAGCCATCATCGTTCATTCTAATGCACCAGTATAGCAAGAGCTATCCAATCCAACCATAACCCATGTCACCGACATCCTCCCATACGGCCACTATCATAGACGAGACAACATCACTATGACTAGCCACTACAAATGACTCATTTTTGTAACTCCTACTATCATAGATCTATTCTAGTAGTAGCAGTTTCTTGCCGTCCCTCATAGTAGTAGCCATCATGTATGGCCACTACCGATGCCTACCAACAACCACACCATTTGATGCTAGATCTAAATCGACAAATACCGGTCATTCCTCCTTCCTGGTTGACTAAATAATCAATGTTCATCGAGATTAAAAACATTGAAATTGACCCTATTTTTATCATTAAAAATTCCTTTGGCCTTTTCACACTTTTTTTAGTAAGTAAATTGTCTTAATCTTTAAATTCAATTCATGTGATTATAAATTAACATAAACTAATTATGTGGTGTGATTTGAGTTATTGAAGTTGGTTAAAGTATTTAAGATGCACCATAGTGTATCGACCTCGAGAAAGGGTCAAAGACCCTAGGTAATAATGATGTGAAATAAGGTGATTGTGTTTTTTTATGAAAATCATGGTACTTGTAATCACATTGGTCCGAACTCCATTTTAAGGCCTTTTTTGTTGATGGTAATGATTAAATTGGTCTTGTCGTTATTTTTGTAAGAATGTTACATTTGAAGTTACATTGGTCCGAACCTCAATTTAGACCATCTTTGTCAATTTTTGCCTAAAGAATTTTTAGTAGCTTGTTTTCTATTGATTTTGCTATTGATTGTTGAAAATTATGATGGTTGAAGTCATGTGAGTCCAAATCTTAATTTAGACCGTTCTTGTCAATTTTTTCTAACATGCCAATTTTATTTGTCAAATTTGCTCGCCATGCATTTGAAAAAAGGGAATATGCTAAGTTGCATCGGTTTGACCCATAATTTGGGTTGTTCTCATCAAGTTTTCCCTTTTAACCTAATTTTGTTTGCTAGTTGATTGAAAATCATGACACTTAAAATCGTGTCAATCCGAACCCTATTTATAGATTGTTTTCTCCAATTTTGATGTTTTACCAATTTCTTGAAAAATTGTGAAGCCTAAAATGTTATCAATTTGTGTCTTGAATTAGATTGTTTATGCCTATTTTGCCCGATTGTGCTTGTCCGTAGAAAAATCATAATGCCCAAATTTGCTTCGATCCTAACCTAGATTGGGATCCCTTTTGTCGTTTTTATCTATTTGTCTAATTTTCCATTTTTGTCGTTGTTTCCTATTTTGTCTACCTATTTTTAAATTATGTTTCCACGCATGTCATTTAAGTGAAACTAGCCATATATTCTTGCACATTCATCATATTCTTTTCATTTCACTTTTATACCTATTCATTTTAGAGTGAGGATAAAGCCCCCGACTGGATCAGTCCTAAATCACTCGTCTACCTAACAAATATTCGAAATAGGTATATATCTTCATCATAAAATAAAAATCAAAAATCAAATTGAGATTTATATGTAATACAGACTTGTCTTAGCTAGGATGGAATAGGGTGATTTTTTATCTTTCTTGCATGTAACCAACCCTTTACCTAGACCTTTGAACAAACCAGGCATATGGTTTCCTAGTAACCTTAATACTAGGTGGCAACTATTTTTTTTTTTTTGTCCATTCCCAATTTCTAAATCATCGTCTCGCCCCGACGTTGCCTTGTGACAATATTTAGTTAATTAATTAGGTTAATTTTACTTAATTGGTTGAATTTTAATTTTACTTATATTAGAAATTATTAATTAATTGTTATTTTAAATTTAATTTGGTTAGAATTAGAATTAATTAAGTTAATTTGATTTAATTTTAATTAATCAATTAAGTTAATTTTATTTAATTGCTTGAATTTCAATTTTATTTATATTAGAACTTGGTAATTAATTTTTATTTTAAACTTAATTAATTTAATTTGATTTATGTTTAATTAATTAATTAGGTTAATTTTTTTAAAATTGGTTTAATTCTAATTTTATTTATATTAGAACTTGGTAATTAATTGTTATTTTAAACTTAATTAATGTAATTTCATTTATGTTTAATTAATTAATTAGGTTAAATATGTTTAATTGGTTAAATTTTAATTTTATTTATATTCCAAATCGTTAATTAATTGTTATTTTAAATTTAATTTGGTTATAATTAGAATTAATTAGGTTAATTTGATTTACATTTAATTAATTAATTAGGTTAATTTTTTTAATTGGTTGAATTTTAATTTTATGTATATTAGAAATTATTAATTAATTTCTATTTTAAATTTAATTTGGTTAGAATTAGAATTAATTAAGTTAATTTGATTTATAATTAATTAATTAATTAGGTTAATTTTGTTTAATGGGTTGGATTATAATTTTATTTATATAAAAAATTGTTAATTTATTGTTATTTTAAACTTAATTTGGCTATAATTAAAATTAATTAAGTTAATTTGATTTATTTTTAATTAATTAATTAGGTTAAATTATAATTTTATTTAAACTATAAATTGTTATTTAAATATTATTATAAAATTAAATTACATTTTAATTTGAGTTAATTTAATTATTTTTTATATAATTATTGAAGTATGCCGAGATACGTCATGGTGTATCAAACCCAAGGGGTTAAAGACCCTCGTGAATTGAGGAGAAATAATGCTTATTTAATGCTCTATTATGGAGACGGGAGGACGAGTTTGAGATTTAA